ATGGCTGACACTGACAAAGGTTCTACAATCTGAGGTACAGGATCTCAGCATAAATCCTGAAGGGATTTCACTGACCTTATCAGACCCAAAAGCTACAACTCTTGTTGCATAGGTCCTGCTTTACCCATATAAGAAGTAAAGCCATGCTATTATGTTGAGCTGTAGGGTTCTCAGGTCAACAATTTCTGACATTGCCAGTGAAGCAGAAGATACAATACTATTATGGACTACTAGACTCTTTTAGAATATTTTGCTGAGTTAACACACCTATAATATTCAAATAACGGAACTTGAAAAAAAAGGGGATATAGATGAATGTCCATTTTGTATCTGTGAATTCAAAATGGTTAGGATAGATATATAGTTGAATTCGCTTATTGAATAAAGGGATTTGTTCTAATAGTGTTTGTAAATAGAATATTATGTCCACATCTTGTACAGCAATTAACCACTAGGAAGAATGTATGCAATGTGTTATTTATTGAAACTGTCCTACCAATTTTGTTTGAAACTGTCTCATTGCTATTTGTTTCTCAATAAAATTATTGAAAAAAAATGAATTTAAAATACATTTATATTGAAAGGGGAACTATTTGGCCTAATTCTGTGGCTAATTCGAAGGAATTCATGACTTTCAATCAAAAAATTTCAGCCAAGTAGTGTTGCCTAATTTATTTCTTTCATGTGATTTTTGGCCTTAATGTACAGCATGGCCATAACCTGTGTTGTCATGTGAGTCACTATTCCTCTTTAAGCATGTGCCCCTTCTATTGACATTGACTAACTTTGAAGGGTACCAATTGCTGTTCTAAGCTGACGCTGCACCATGGAAAACTACTAGATCTCTACCTTCATGGAGTTTCTTTTTTAGGATAGAGACAACTGTACTATCCATGTACCAGATTCTGTACTACATGCTGCTGCATTCTGATTCTGTTTTTCTGATATGACTGCTGAAAACACAGGAGAGCTTTTGTGGAAATTATGAGTTAAACTTATAAGAGATGTATGCACTATCTACATTATTTTCACTGACTGGGCATATATATTTGTACTATACAGACCTATTAAGTATTTAACTTGGTTATAGTTACAACTATGGGCCCCCATTTTTCATTTGAAAGATGAGGATTATCATAGCACCAGTCTATGATATTAAATACATTAAAAAAATTTAACATAGTTTCTGGTCCAAACTAAGTTTAACAAATAATAGGTAATATATTATGAATACATATATGAATTACACATGTATTATACACACATTTGCTCAAAGTCCTCAATGAGGTGAAACAAATAATTGTGGATTTCACTTGTTTCATTCATTTAACATTTATTGCCTCCTGTCAGACAATTTTTTTAAGATGACTGCAACTCTTCTCTAGAGATATAGTCTGACACCCCTCTCTCACTTCAATCCGGGTGAAAACCCGTGACTTGCTCAGAGGTAGTGAAGGTGGTATGACTTCCGAGGATGGATCATAAAAGGTGATGCTGGGATGATCACATTGGATCCCTGAGGCCACTATGCTCTGAGGAAGCCTAAATGAGCCCTCATGGAGAGACTACATGGGAAACCTTGAGTCTTCCTGAAGAGAAGGAGAGGCCTAGAAATCCACTCCTTCTTCAGCTCCTGTCATCATCTGACTTTTTGACTGTAGTCACAGGAGATACTTCAGGTCAGTACTACTCAGTCAAGCCCTCTCCAAATTTCTGATCGTAAGAGAAAAAAGGATTGCGTTGCTTTCAACATGTTAAGTTTTCATCTGATTTGTTATGTATCAACAGATAACCAGAAGACCTACTTTCAGTTGCTCAAGACAAGCATCAAACAAATGTACTTTCATGGGTTTCCATTCCTGACCATTCTCATCCATCCCAAGTGAGGGTTATTTTCAGGGTTGTAATTATCAACAGTTTTGCTCTGCAATCAAGCCTAAATTTGTAGATACAGTTGGCAAATAGATCACAATCATTCATCCATGCTTTACATAAATAGATCTATTAATTTTTCAACATGGATGGAGCTTTCAGGAATCCAGGCCTTACACCCTTCTCACAGCATTTATTGCTGCTTGTTTGTTTGTCTAGCTAGTGCCTGCACACAGCAGATCTATCTAAAAAGCAAACCCAAACACACTCAGGCACATAATCATTTGGAGGGCTGCTAACATCTGGATTAAGAAAAATTATTCAAGGATAGCCCTGTTCTCCAGGAGTTCACAGTTCAGTAGTAGATACCTGCTGTACTAATCCTGACAATTGCATGATGCTCTAGAGAGCTGTCAGAATAGAATCCTGTGGGCTAGAGAGGGATTACAGGTCAACGAACTGGGGGTGGAGAGGGACAACAGGAAGGGTTCATTCATCTATACCACCAATGTTTACCAAGCACAGTAGGACAGCAGTACATGGTGAGCATACAAAATCTACTACCAAATGCCAGTCGAGTTTCAGGCGTTGAGATGCAACAGCAGTGGTGAAAAACTGCGGTGGCACGTGCCTTGGTGGAGCTCACAGTGTAGTAGCGAGCACAAACAGGCATTGGAAGTAATTGTGTAAAATGGTGCGAGGTGCCCAGAAGGAAAAATAACAGGCGGCTGGAATTCTTCTAAGGATGTGAGATCCCTCTGCAAGGGGCGGCCGTGGGCGGATTTTGAGCAGGAGCGGCTGAGAGGCGGAGGGATTACAGGGGCGGGAAGGCTGCAGGCGAGAAGAGTTGGTCATTTAAAAATGCAAACATTTTCTCCCCGAGTGGAAGAGAAGTGTCTGGTGCTTAGGGAGTTTGGGGGTTCTTCCTGGGGCTAGGGCTGTGTTTTAGGTGTAAGCTCAGTCGCCCCACAGGGCAGGAACAGTACAGCGAATAGAAGCCCTAATGCCTATATGTTCCATGCTAGGCACATCTAGGTGCCCTTCTTTCCTAGACCAGCAGACGCATTATCTCCGGTTCGGATTAGGGCTACAGCAGACGGCAAGGTCCGGGTGGCGAGGGATCAAGCACAGCAGCACTCACGCCCAGAGCTCCGGGTCTGCAACACCCGGCGGGCGGGAGAGGGCGGTGCTTGCTCTGCAGACTCAGGCGTTGGCGTGGGCTCCACCCCCGACCTCAGGCCCCGCCTTCCACCCTTCTGATTGGACCAAACCCGCGGAAGGGCTGGGCGGCCCTTGGCGGCCCCGGGGGTCGGGCTGAGGACAGCGCACTGATTGGTCTGGCGGGATTAGGTCACCGCTAGCAGGTTCGGGCGGCCCGGACGCTGGCGGGGCGGCCGAGGCTGCTGTGAGAGGGCGCTCGCGGCTGCAGGAAAGCGAGCCAGCGAAGGAGGCGGGGAGGCGGCGGCAGCGCTCGCTAGCCGCTCGCTCATTTCCCGGTGCCGCTGCGGGTCCGCCGCCGCGCTTCCTGCTCCCCCGCCACTCCGCTGCGCTCCGCGGGAGCTGCCGCCCTACGGCTGGGTGCCGGCTCGGCTCGGCTCGGCAGTCGGGTACGCCAGCGAACCGCGCGCTCTGGGCGACGGGCGCCACACCTGTGGAGCCGGCAGCCGTCGAGGGTGCCGGCCGAGGTCCCGGGGCGCGCGTGCTGAGGGCGCCGGCAGCCCGAGCCTCGGGGAAGGCGCGCCCCCCGGCTGTGCGCCGCGGGCAGCATGGGGCTCCCTGCGCTCGAGTTCAGCGACTGCTGCCTCGACAGCCCGCACTTCCGAGAGACACTCAAGTCGCACGAAGCGGAGCTGGACAAGACCAATAAATTCATCAAGGAGCTCATCAAGGACGGGAAGTCGCTGGTCGTCGCGCTCAAGAGTGAGTTCCCTGAGCCTGGTGGGGACTGGGACCGGGGCGGAGCGGTCTGTGGGGCGACGCTCAGCCCGGGTCTCCCGCGCGCTCCCGGTTGCGCCCCGGGCACTAGGTGACGGGGGTCGAGGCGTGTGCTGAGGCAGGAAGGATACGCGGGCGGGCGGGCGGGCGGGCCGGTCTCCCTCAGAGGAGGAAGGAGCGGTCGCGGTCGTTTGCTCCCGGGGCTGGCCCGGAGCGGCCGGGGCGCGGACGGTGCTTGGGGCAGGTGGGTGTGCGCGGCACACAGGTGTCCTGGTAGTGCCACTGCTGTGCCCTCCGCCAGCCTCAGCCCTCTGTGAAGCCCATCGCGCCCACGACTCCGGCTCCTGTAGGGGAGGAGTAGCGCAGCTCTGGATCCCCAGCCGTGGGAATGGAGAGTGGTGGGGGGTCGCTGCCTCCAGGGGAAAGGCGGGGTATGCCTGCTTCATCTCGGTAGGCGTCTCGAGCCTGCTGAAGGCCGCCGGGTTTTCTGGGTGGAATGGCCCGTCGCTCCCTATTCCTTGGAGTATTGGCAACTGGTAACCTCCGGATCTAGAATCAGTGCCATGTTCGTGCGCAGGTTCCGATTCATGTGTTTAGCAGAAGGTGACAGGGGTGGGAGTAGAGAACCAGAGTGTTCCTTTACTCTAAACTGTGGGCGAGGGTTTAAAAATAGAACGAACATATTCCTTCTCTCTCTCTCCTGTTCCTTCGCTCCACTTTTTACCTCTTCCATTATCCTTGAAACCTTAAAGGTCTAAGAAGAAAGGTCTTCATTACCTTAGAAAAGAGAAGCTTAAATTCATCTTAAAGGTTCTTGACCTTTCTGAAAAGAACATTTTTTGCTTTTCCCCCTCCTGGTACAAGGGAAGAAATGAAATTTGCATTCTGCTTGATTTTTGCAGAGCCAAGGATTTCGCCTTCTGGCCAATTAAGGGGCTCTAGGGATGAGCACCTTGCATCGTGAGCATGTATTTTGGTGCCTTTTCAGTTTACCCATTTAAAAGTAGGTAGGTCCATTTTTTTTATTTTGAGAACCGGGAACAACATGAAGGCAAATATTGGATTTTTTCTTTCTCCTTTTCTGTCTCTGCTGGCTTTCCTCATAGGTGATATCTTTCAGGTTAGAAAGCTTGTCTTCTCAGAGTACGATCCTAGCTGCAAGAGTTGTCCCCAGGGTTCTTTATAGGAGGCTTTATAGCAGCCAACTACCTGAGGCGTCATTTTGTGAGACTGTTTCTTCTAAAAATGAAGCATGAGACAACAGAATGCCAGGGCAGGCGTGCCAGTCTTTTAGGGGTGAAACGAAGGGCAGGGCTGTGATACCAGGAGCTTTCCAGGTACAAGGGCTCTGAAGGAGGTTAGGGACTCTAGGAGGCGGTGCCTTATTTGAAGCATAGGAACAGAGACTTCCTGTGTCAATCCTTGATCTAGGAAATGCATAACCTTGGTTTGAAGTAGCACAAGGAACACATTAATGACTTGGGTTCAGGCATTTGGATTGACCCTCAGGCCAGTGTTAATTGGGCCTCAGCTTCACTCCACAGAAATGCAGTTCCTGCTGTGTGTTGGATACTGCACTGGACACTGAGAATGTAGCAGTGATGTGTTGTTTCCCCTTGGTACAGAGACATACGTTCCATGCCAGGCACTGCTTCACCTTATTTTGCAGATGGGAAAACTAAGGCAAGAACTGAGGGAAGCATTAGCCCAGAGGCGCACATCTTTAACAGAAGAGTTAGAACTTTTGCATTCACTTGGTCTGAGCCAGAAATGCGAGTTCCTGCCATTGCAGAGCTCTTGATCCTGTTGCATCCTTCTTGCTCAGGATAGAATCCCTTGGACCAAGACTCTGAGAATGGGATTGCATCTCAGCATTGAATTTGAGGTGTTGTGTTTGGGTGACTGGAATTTTGCCTACAGCTATTTTGGGGAAAGCCACAGTTGTGTGGGTGTGTGTATTTATTTAGGTGGTTCTGGGGATTGAACCCAGGGTCTTGCACATATGAGGCAAGTGCTTTGTGATAGAGCTACACTCCCAGTCCTAAGAATTCTTTGGTTAGGAAGCATTGTAGTGATGGAGTTCAAGACTTAAATGACCTAAGGGAATGGAGCAGCCCTGTAAGTTAGGGGAAAGATTGTTGGGAAACTGGGTGTTCTGGTCTCTCACTATCTGGCTCTACAGCTAACAGCACACCTACTACTACTAACTACTACTTGAGCAGGGCATATGAATTTTTAAAATGAAAAAGGCAGAGTCAATCACCGTGTCCTAGATTTCAGGCATTCTTTCATGAGTGCTTGGAACTATACTGCCATATTAGTATTTGTGCAAAATTTTTCTTTAGATTGTTTTTATCATTATTGTAAATGAAAAGCCAGTTGCTTTCCAGTATGGCTTAAGGATAAATACATAATTATACATAATTACATAAGTAACAGTGGTTTTATGGCTTTATTTTATGACTGTATTTCTAACTAGTATTTGCAGATCTTTGGATTTGGATGTCCTTTGTGTATGAATCAGAGGCAGTGAAACTGGCCTGCAGGGATAGACAAAGTTCAGCTGGGTCATTGTTTTGGTACTTCTGCTTTATGAATGAGGAAACTTAGGGACAGAGAAGTTAGGAACCCTCCCAAGGTGACATAGCAGTTAAAGGTGTTTAAATGTAGATTGTTAAATTTCAGAGATACTTCATTTAACCCTGAAACAACACTGTCATTTAGATCAGGCTAAGTCAGGGGTTTCCCTCCATTTACCTTTGAAATTCCCTTGAGAATATGATGAGAGTGATGGGCTTCATAAAAATGAACCCCTTGAACTCGTTCCGTGAAGTATGGACTCCTGGGATGGACACAGAGAGGATAAAATAATTGAAGACAGACATTTAAAACAAATCTTGCCCTTGGAGAAACTTCTTGTTCAAAATGGAGTTGAGCCTTGGCGGTTGTTTCTGGTCCTGTCCTTTTGTGTGGGAACTTGTTTACCTGGGACCTTTTCTTTTGACCTGTAGTTGTCTCAGTTAATATTCTGTATTAGTCATTTGTTTTTCATTTATTCTGTAGAGGTGATAAAGAATGGATGAGTTTTAGGATGTCCTGGGTCAAATCTTTTAAAATTAAAAAAACCACATTTATTTATTTATTTTGTACAGGGTCTCACTATGCAGCTCGAATTCATAGTGAGCCTCCTGTCTCAGCCTCCCCAGCATTGGTATTAGAGGTGTGCATTACCACACTCAGTTTTGGTGGCCAGCGTGGCATGCTCAGGTTCCCAGGCTGGCATGCCTTGCAGTACCAGGGATTGAACTTGGGTCTTGATCACATCACTTTTTGTTGCTGATTTTGGACTTGTTGCTAAGCCTGAGCTTTGTTGTGTCAAGTGGGAATAGCCACACTGACTTTGGAGGGTAGTAAGAAAAGGAAGCAGTGTAAAAGGCAGTATAATGGAAGTATATAAAAAGCTCTTAGCTTGAGGTCTGCTACATCGCTGTGCTCAATTACTGGTAGCTGGTGTTAACCATCTTCCAGCATTAGAGACTGTCAGGAAGACTGTCAGGATTGGTGATTCTTAGAGGAAAAGTCTTTAAGTGCAGGTTGCAAGGAGTAGGGATAATACCCTCCTGTGTCAATTGTTCGTAACTCACATAGTTTTGTGTATATTAGCCGTTGGTGGGCAGAATCCTGGTGTTAGGGTTAAGTTGTGGTTATGTTTAAAAACGCCACAAGTTAAAAAGTAACAAAATAAATAAGCCTTACATCTTTTGTGTTCCTAAAAATATTCCAGTAGCTTAAAATTTCTCCCTTTTTGATAAATTAACTTACTCTGCTCTGGACTGCTGCCTCTTTTTGCCCTGCATGAAAAGCTTGCAAAATAAGTTGGACCTTGTATCTGATTATCTCATGAACTCAGTGGCAGATTGAATGTGATTTCACAGAAATAAAAGTACATTAGATTGTTGGTTTTGAGGGATGATGGTTTTCAGGAACTGTTCCTTCCCATCAGGACAGCGGAGTTCTGAATTTGGGGCTATAACATGTTGCTGGGGACATATCCATTTACATTTAACTTCTGCTTATGTTCAATAATTGAAGCTGAGTGGGGAATATGGAAATGAAGTTATTCAGATATTCCCTTATCATCGTGCTACTCACTCATTAAAGTCTTCAGTTCAAAGGTTTATAGTACATTCATGGAGTTGTATGACCATCACCATAACGGTAGAACATTCCTTATTTCCTACCAATCTCTGTACAAATATGCCACCCTAGTTAACCACTGATGTATTTTCTGTCTCTGTAGATTTGCCTATCCTAGACATTAGAAATACAGTTTTAAAAATTTTTTCCTGGGTATTGGTGAGCACCATCAAGCACAGGATTCTTTTTTTTTTTTTTTATTTTTTTTTTTTAATGTATTTGATACAAGGTCTCACTATGCAGATTGGACTCATAGTGATCCTCCTGTCTTCAGCACTGGGATTACAGGTGTGTGCCACCATGTCCGGTCTCGGTGACTGGCTCAGCGTACCTGGGGGTGGGGCCAGTGCAGCCTGAGGTGCTGGGGATCATATCTTGGTCCCTGCGCTTGCCTAAAGCAGGTGCTTAGTCTGCTGAGCTATGTCGCTGGTCATGAAGCACAGGCTTCTTGATTGGAATTTCTGGTGGGGAAACTTAGAATCAATATACTGTTTTCCTTCTCATTAAGGGGGCTTAAGGAGAGGGGAGGGCCCAAAGGTTGAACCATGTTCTAGGTTAGTGGTGGTGAACCCATGGCACGTGTGTTGCAGCAGGCTGTTTGTTGTCATTGAATGGTCTAAAAGGTTTGCTATCCCTGACCTGGGTAACCTGGATGTCCCTTGGTGTTTTCAGCCCGCGAGAGGGGAATGGATTCACTTTAGTTCATGATACTTTGACAAGTGCAGAGGGTATAACAAAAGCAAGGCTGAGAATTCAGCCTTTTTCCTCTGAGTTTTCAGTCAAGTTGG